AACTGAGGTGGCCCTGCTCTCCTGACAGCTCTCCTAAAGCACCTACTGCATGGGACTTGGCTACCAACCTAAGCATGGAGCACTTCCCTCAGCCACAGCATTAGCTGTGTCCTTAGCTGGCTTAGGCTGTGCTGCCTGTTTGGAGCAAACCATGAGATGCTTGTGTTTCACACTCTTAAGTGTGTAAGAACTATCACCCATTTTTCCTGCGTACTCATATTGTAAATAAAAGGAGAGTGTATGGCATTCTGAGAATTAATGGCCAGTTTGAAGACTGCTGAAATAATTTAAGACATTGGCATTGTTTTCTTTCAGGGCCCAGGGCTGTCATTAGCTGAGCACTTGGATGCTCTTCCAAAGAGGCTGAAAAGAAAAGCCCTCCAGGAACTGCAGCAGAGAATGACTCCCATCCAAAACCAACAGATCCTGGCAAGCAGCTACATAGGTCTATAGCAGGGCAAGCATTCCACCACTGCATGGGAGGACTCTTACATGTGAGCCTGTGCTTCAGCTGCAGCAGAGCCAACCATTTAATTATAATGGGAGAGGCTGCAGGGATTAACCAAGAAAGCTGAGCTGACCGCTGTGAGTTCAGCTTCTACTTTTTTCTTTTTGCTCAGCTTTGAACACAGTAACTAAAGAAGAGCACACAGGCAGAGAAATCTGTGCAGCAGCAATCCTGGCTAACTTCTCTTCTGCAATAAGAAGTGAGTCTTCCTAGGGAAACTGAAGGAATTGTGCTCTAAAAGAATACCACTGTCAGGTCAGTCAGACATCTCTACCTCTGGAGTCCCACCACTCAGGGATGAATTAAGCTGAGATGGCTGAAGTAGTCACCCTGCCCTCCACCACCTGTCTGCCTGGTTCCTCCATTTCTGTAGCAAGAGCAGACAAATGACACCTCTATTTGCTCCCAAACCACTGCAGTTCACAGCCCCGCATGGCTCTCATTGTGAGCTGCCCAACGATGTCCATCCAGCCCTCAGATTGGGAGCTGCAGCAGTGCAGCAGAGGCAGATCTCTGCTCCTTTACTTTACCAGAGTCTGAAGGACTCTTAACTTCCACTCATCTGGATATAAACTGATGTCATGCCATGCTTCAGCTACTGGCTGATATTTGGCCAGTTGATATGATTTACTGCGTGGGTTGGACTGAACTTTCTCACTAGAATACTGTCTTGGCAAAATGCTGAGTCTATGTTTAAGAGCACGAGAGCAGCAAGAAGAATTAGGATGAGGGTGAGACTGGAGTGAGAACCTGGTTCTTGTGCCAAGGAGAACTCAGGCCTTTCAGATGTGTCCTGTGCTAAGATTTATAAATGTTTCCGTTGGCATACTAGACACTGGGGTAAGCTTCTCAATTACATTAAGCCTAAGAAATATGGCAGTTAACAGAAGAAACGAGATTCCTGCCTCCTGTTTGTTCATCCTGGTGCTTGGATGGGCCCAGCACCAGTAGCCTGTTCCCTTATGAAATGATTAAAATGAATAAGCAGCTCGACGTCTGGCTGTTTTCGAAGTGTTAATTCCTGCTCAGGTCTCAGACAGATCTTCCAGACAGCCCTGAAATTTCTAGGCTTTGTAAAATCCTAAGTGCAAATTCCAGAGAAGCTGACTCTCTGCTTTGGAGGTAATTAAGTGGAGTGACTGAGGCACTGCTGGTAGCCTGGTGTCTGTGGACACCTCTCCTGAAGGCTCTTTGGACCGTTCAGATAGCAGCACTTCACTGGTGCTGCTGCAGGCAGATTCCAGCTGGCCTTCTCCAGGCAGTGTTAGTGCTGGGAGCTGGGGAAAGCACGCAGGAGATGTTGCAATGTTAGCCCTCCACATAAAGCCATTCTTTCCACGGTCTCACAGAGCAAGATTTTTTGTGTGTTTTACAGAGCTCATCCCTACCCTGAGGCCATGCCCAGAAGCATTGCTAGTGAAGCTTTCCTGGCACTGTTGTTCCAATGTTGCCAGTGCTCCAAATCTCCAAACTTCAGTGAGAGCCTTCACCTGGCTAAGGGAGGAACTCGCTCATTTAGTTCCCATCTAATAGGCAGCCAGGAGCACAGCATCCAGGGAGGTGACCCTTCTGAATCATGGAGCTATCTGGACCATCAAGAACTTCATGTTCTTTCCATTAGCTGCTGTTTGAGTTCTGCAGGAAGAAAAGTCTTGTGTTGTAGATAAGTTCCTTAGAGTGCTGAGAAAGCTCAAAGATCTGCAGATGAATCCACTCCAGCAGGAAGCCAGTGCTGGCATCCTGGCTTTGAATGCAGGAGCCCCAGCGGGTGCTGCCAGGCACCGGCCCTGTGTGGCATGGGCCAGCAGCAGCAGGTGTGGATGCTGCTCAGGATGCTGCCCACGAGCCATGAGCACCTGGCTGTACTGTGCAGGGAGCTGGGCTCTCACAGCCACCACCTGGAACCTGATCTGCCTGTCAGAGCACAGTGCGCTCATTCAAGTGGCAAACTAATTTCATCACCTCCCCTGTCAGGGCAAGAGGAGGTAGAGATTAATTTGAACTCAAAGGATCATAAAATAACATGGCAGCAGTATGCAACTAATAATCCACGGGAGGAATTGCAAACATGAAGTTGTCTTGCTCTACATAATGGGGAGCTATGACCAGCAACTTCTCTGCTCCACCTCTTGCATTTGCATTTCCTCCAGTGGGAGCACAGAATGTGATAAGACCAGTCCCGAAGTCTGCAAGAGAATCCCACCTTGGCTCCCTGGCATAATTCATGTACAGCTGGCAAAAGAGCCCAGCACAGGACAGTAAGGAGCAGCCAAGGAGTACACTTCTCAAGTACAGCTGCTACTTTTTTCACCCTCTGTCTCATCTCACTCACAGCACAGCTCAGTCAGTGCTAAGTCGCTCTCGTTTTTTCCCTGAGGCAAAGACCTTTAATCACAGACTGCAGACCAGCGTCAGAGGCAGGAGAGGAAGGCAGCTGCAGAGCCTGTATTAGTTTACTATTGAGCAACTAGAGCAACCAGCTCTGTCAAAGGCTGGGAAAAACGCAGGGCTGGGACTCCTCATCCTCCTCCCCGCTCCCTTTTGGAGCCTGGGCCGCCCTGTGCCCAGCTGGCTGCCAGCTCTGCCTGCTCCCATGTCACAGGGCACATAGGGCAGCAGAGGAAATGTTGTGCTAGGGCCTGTACTGTGCCTCTTTTCTCTTCTGTTCCAATAGAGAATTCCAACTGAACGCTGGAGTGCACAAAGGATGAAAGCTTCAGCAGAACGTGCCCTTGCCAATGCTTGGCAGAGCTGTGGCACCCTTCTAGCTCTTGCAGTGCAAACAGGCACTGCCGCCTACAATAGGATGGTAGCAAAACACTAGTTTCCACCAATAGCTTCTTCCAGTGTTTCCTCCCAGTTACAACTGGTGCTGCTGAGAGTCCATGGGAAAAAACTCCAGTAAAGACCAGGCCTCTGCATGCAAATGAATGCTACAGAAATAACCCCCATCTTCCCTCCGCTCCTAAGTTGTGTACTCTGTGCACTAGAATTCCCTTCAAAGACCTTCCAGTTCATTCTTTATGCTCTAATTAAGGATCAGTGCCAATTAAGTATCTTCAATAGAGGAGCATCTTCCGCTCAGCAGCCAGGAAGTGTCTGAATGAGATCCTGCTGTACAATGTGCACATGAAAAGGGAAGCCCTCCCTTCTTGGAAAGGGCTTCCAAGATTAAAAATCCAGTATAGAATACAAGATGCCTGCTTTAAAAATATTTTGTGATGAGATTAATTGAGGGCACACATGAATGCAGAGTGGTTTGTCACATGCCTTGTACATGCTTGTATAGCACCCGAGTGTGCTACTGCATTGCCAAGGCGCTGAGCTGCACCCTGTGCCATCCAGGCAACAGCAGGTGTGAAAAGAGAGTGTAACATTGTTTGGAAACTGGTATTATAACACTGTCTGTTTTTTCTTGCAAGGGTTAAAGATACTAAGAAGCCACTTTTTGGATGAAAACTTAGTGCTATTTACATCAGTATCTGCACTGCTCCAGTAGTCCACACCTTTGCTTCCTGTTGTTGCTCACCTGCTCTGTAAATAACCAGGCAGCTCAGATTACTGCCACGCTGCTCTGAGTGAGAGCTGTGCTGACGGTCTGAGCAGGCACAGGCAGGGGAATGGCATTTCTGAGCCTGGCTAAAGATGAATGCATCAGTTCCCCAGCCACTTGCAGGCTACATTTAAAAAGCGCTTTCTAAATGAAAATTAGATGGTTAAACACTGTGGGGGGAAGGGCAGGGAATGGGATAATCCCTTCAAAGCTTTAAATGGAAGATTTGCAGACCTGCCTCAGCTGATGTGAGACACATGAACAACCTCTGATTTGAGACATATGTAAAACTCCAGCCAGGCACAACAGCAGCACGGCCTTTTGGGGCACCCCATGTGAAGTGGTTGTGTGTGCAGCAGATGTAGCCATGCTACCAATCGCTGCTGAATCTGGTGACCGCTCACGGGCTGCTCTGAAGAATAAAGGAGTAGAGGAGGAAGAAAGCAGACTTGATGAGAAACAGGAACTGCAAAACTGCATTGGAGAATGGGGAAAAAGCAACAAATTATTCTGTAAGCAGCAGAATCCGCAGTCTTGCCTAATGGGATTTACATTCATAACATCTGCCAGGCCACTGATGCTTCAGTATATAATAACAAAAAGTATCTAGAACTGGCAGTGAATTGGAGTGCTTTTGTGGAGCAGATTGTGTACAAGTCCATTTTTGTACAAAGACTGGGCAAAATAAGTCTGAGGTTCGAGGAGCAACCCCACATGTGCTCGGCAGAGGCTGGTGTCTGTGTCTGGGCTTTGCTACCAGCGATCCATCTGCAAAGCACCGGGGGCAGGTCTGTCCTGATATGCCTTGGGAGTCCCTAGGGAGGCACTACAGTGCTGACTGCTGAGATCTGAGCTGCACAGAGGAAGGGGGAGGCGGAGGGAAATGCAGAGCAGCGCACTGCAACCATATCACTCCAGTGAGTGTAACCTTTATTCTAGGTGAGGGTCCGTGCTTTTGGACTTACCCGAATCCGTCTCATGGCTGCCACAATCTCCACGCGGCTGCTGGGCCTGGGAACGTCCAAGCTACCAATGTACTGAAAGACAGAAGGTGAGATGTCTGTAAAGTAATGCACGAGTTAATGGTGTAAGCTTCTTCCAAACAAACAGCATCTGTTGTTAGACGAGTCCCTGCTCAGTGAGAGTCTTTTGTCCCAGGACTTGGTAGGAATACCTGTTGTGGATAATGTTACCAAATTGGGAGTGTTACAGGGCTCCTGAATCTGGGGCTTACCCCACTCAGGTTCTGGGTGTGCCTCTGCCCATGCTCTGCAGGGCAGTATCTGCTGCTGATCAAGCCACAGTTCTGTGGGTCTGAAAATGGGACCATGCATCCTTTGTCACTCCTCCCCAGTCTGTTTTTGAGAAGCTCTGAGCTGCACACACACATGAGCTGTCAGGCACACAATGCAGGCAGCAGCACCCCTTGCTCTGGGGCTGAAAGGTGAGACAGGAGGTGGCCAGGGGTCTCCAGCACCTTTCTGCTGCCAGCTGCCTGCTCCCTTGTGCTCTGCCAATGTGCTGTGCTGCCACATGGATTGCTAGGGGAGTCCTGCATGCAGGCAGCATCCTGCTGCTGCCCTTCTTCCTCCTGGAGAGGAAGAGCCCTGCAAACATTCAGTGCAGTAACGTTGCACATGAACAGAGCCCACATTGCTATGGGGCTGCTCTTGGGAGACCACCGCTGTTACTGACAGTTCTATTTTCATTTCTCTGCTGTAACATTTGTGGCTTGCAATGGGTTTTCACCTGAAAACTTTTGCATAGCAGAGATGAGATTTTCAAGATGAGTTCTCCTGGCTCAGTTATTTATTGCTCTTTTATCTGCCTTGAAACAAACACCGCAGGCAATCTGAAAGGTCATCCGTTTCTTCTGATGCTTTTGCAAAATAGCATTTTTAAGAGCAGCCGCTTCAGCCGTGTCCTTTGGTAAACCACAGGAGATCCAAACCGCAGCAGCCAGAGCTGGAGGGCAGCGGAGAGGGAGAGCAGCCAGAGCCCACTGTGCTGCACCCGCTCGGTCCACAAGCAGCAGCTCTGCACGGCCGCACACCCCGCACCTTTTGCCCACCAGCCGTGTTGCGCTCAGAGCTGCAGCTGCCCGGTGAGCAGCCCTGGCAGAGCAGCACTGAGCGGGCAGTTGCTAAGGCAATGTGCGCCCATCTCAGCCCTGCACACTCAGAATAGCTCCGGTGCCTGAAGCTGTCAATCTGGAGGCGCCCGTTTCGCTCAGTTAAAGGCGCAGTCTGCTCACGCTCTGGGAAGCAAAACAAGGATTTTTCTCCTCAGTGTGGTGTGTGGCACAGCAAGTGTTAATTTAAATTAAAAGAAGCCGAAGACTAATTGTCTTTCTCTGCTAAGGTAGAGGGGCTTTTAAAGTATGCGATTACCTGTCCAGATCCATCCTATATCCTGTTTAAGCCTTACAGCTCTTTTATCAGGAAAACTAAAATGCACAAAATCCATATTTCAAAGCTTTTATTTGAATATACTTCCCTTCTTCCAGCTCAGCAGACATGGATTCCATTCCTTGTCAGTATTGGCCACCTGCACAGAGGGGCAGCAAACCCCAGAGCTGCTCCAGCAAATGCAGCTCTTTGTGCCAGGGCTCGGGCGTGCGCTGCCCGCACAGTGCCAGCCCTGCTGAAGTTGCTCACTCGGTGGTGGTGCAACGCCAAAACACCTTTAATGATCGGCATGAACTTTCTGACAGCGTCCCTATTTCTGAACCCCCACACCGTGCGTGTAAGTGCAGACCTCCCAGCCACGCTTTTCACACAGAGAACAAACAGCTCGGATGCCCGCTGGGTTCTGCCGATGGCACCGGAACCGGGATGGGTCCCTGCCCGGGGGTCTGCCCCGATCGGTTCTCAAAGGAGGCACGCGAGGAAGCGTTAGACACCTTAGAAAAGATCAGCAGGAAGAAAGGAATGACCTGTTTGATTGCGACCTTAGGCGTGAAGCTCTCGCGGTTGCCTGGCGCTTACCCCTAGGCCCGGCGCGCGGCTGCAGGCTGGCTGCGCTCGGGAGCTGCGCCGGCGGGGCGTACGGCGAGCCCGGCAGTGGCGGCCGCGGGGCGATCGCCGCGTTCCCGTGGGCAGCGGAGCGGGGCACGCGCGGGCTTCGGGGTCGCGGCTCCGGCGGACGGGGCGCCCGCACCGCACGGCGCCCAATCGGGGCCGCCGCCGGGATGCCGCGCCGCCGCCCCGGGCCAGGGAAGGCGGGGAGCGGGGCCGGGCCGCGGCTCACCTTGGCCTGGAAGTGGATGCCGTGCTGGAAGGCCTCCTCGTTGTGCAGCGGGACGCGCGAGTCGCAGCCATCGTCCACCAGGTTGTACCGGTTCTTCACCGGCATCGCGGCGGCGGGCGGGCGCCTTCAGGCCGCGGCGGTGCGGGACATCTTCGCGGGCATCGCCCGGCCCTGCAGCCCTCGCCCGGCCCCGCAGCCCTCGCCCGGCCCCGCAGCCCCCGCCCGGCCGGAGCCCCCCAGCGGCCGGGGCGCGGGGCTGGCGCAGCCCGAGCCCGGCCGCGTTTTGAATGAGCGTCCGCGGGAGCCGAGCGGGGCCCCGGCCCTCGCCGCCGCGCCATTGGCCCGAAGTTCCCTCATGTGATGCGGGGGGCGGCCGCCAGCCTGGGCCCCGGCCCGCCCCGGGCAGAGCCCCGCCGGGAGCCGCGGCCGGAGGGCTGCGGGGCGCTCCGTGCCGTGCGGGAGCTGCGGGGCTTCGGGACGCGCCCGGCACTCAGCGGCGCCCCGCGGAGACGCGCTGTGTTGGCGCGGCTCTGCCCGCCGGTGCTGCCCTGGCCGGGCCGTGAGCCGCGGGGCGCGCAGGGCTGTGAGCGCGGGGCTGTGCGGGACGCCGAGCCTTGCTGCGGTGCTGGCGCCTCGGCTGAGAGCTGCAGCCCTGCACTGCGAGAGGCGTTGGGGATGGAGTCTCGTCGTGATGCGGGGTTTGCTGAGTTTTGACTGTTCATGTCACGCTGCATCGTTTCAGCAGCACCCGCTCCATTTCTCTTGTTAGAAATTCTAGAAGGACGGTACGGAATGGTCTAAGATCTCCCTGCAACTTCTGTGCACGAATGATAGGCTAAAGCAATGATATCTACTCCATTTTAATGTGACTTAGCTTTGTCAGTAATTAGCACGTGCTCCCTTTCCAAAGCCCGCTGCTCAGCTAATGTCCACCGACTGACCCAGTGTCCCATCAGAATTTTTGGCCTTTGCTGTGCACGTGGTGTGTCCTTTCCAGCCCCATCTCTGGCAGAGCAGAGCCCCTCTGCTGTGCCCTGCAGTGCCTGACATACCGAGCATCGCTCTGCTGGCAGTGCGTGGAGGGACAGGCACAGACATCTGCGCGGCTGTGATGGGAGCTCCTGGGCCACACTCACTGACATAAGGAATGGTGAGAGACACACTGTGCAGAACCCAAGGGGCTGGGGTGTAACATTTGCTCCAACTGACTTCTTGCTATACCAATAATTACCCAGCTGGATGTGTGGGCATTGTTTGGCGCCACTTCTGTGTGGCTTTCACAGCAGAAAGAAAGAAAATTTTGGCCGTGGCAGGGGGGTGTGCTGCTCCCTGTCCCCAACTCATGGGTGTAACAGTACTTAATTTCTTGGCACCTCTGAGGACTCCCAAGTCAGAAGGGTGATGGACAAGAGCCAAAATCCAGAAAGCGATAATTAAGGGAGTGAGAAAAAAGCCCAAGGAATTAATATTGGTTAACTGACCGTGAGCTGACATGCTCAAGTAGCTGGTGGTATTAGCGACTCTTTCTGGCACCGTGGGCATGGTGCTCATGAGTTCTGTGGCCAGCCTCACCACTGAGCTTTTCTGTTTCCAGACAGGCTACAATGTTACATTACCATTCCGCTTAAATATCCACGTGCTGGTGCTTCAGCACAGCTCCAAATGGGTCTGGATACACACCTCACCTGCAGATTCGTTAATGCAGTTCTGATTCGTGCTGTGGTCTGTGTGCTGTCGCTAAGCATCTGCTTAACACCTTGCACAGCACTCACCTTGTCCAAACTTAGATTAAAAAATACCTCTTGACCTGAATGAAGAACCTAGATTTTGCGTGCAAAACGCTTTGGACGGCTGTAACAAGATTCTATCCTTTGGTTCTCCTAAGCCCTAAAAGAGGGGGATGCCGCCCTGGCAGCCTGTATTTGTCTTTCCTTTGATGCCAATGCCGGTGCAGCACAACCAGTAAGGGAAAGAAGCCTAATGACAGCGAGTGTCTGCATGGATTCTGCAATATTGCATTTTAACTGAGGCATGCATGAACCCGTCCGGTGCTGAGCTGCTGAAAGCTGCTCCTCACTGCCCTCCAGTTGCCACAGGAGCATTCCCATGCCGTGGGAGCGTGCGGTCCTCGCTTGGGATACTCAAGTCTTTTATCTGATAGATAGGATGAGATTAGAAGAATGGTCCTTTAATTTCAGCATCCTGCATGTTATGAAATCCTTCAGTCAGGGGACAGAAACATCTCACAGGAATCCTGCGAAAAATAAAGCAGTTGTGATTTAATAAAGCTTGCAGTGCCAGATATCACAACTGAATGGAGGTGTTTAATATTCCGTGTTCATTAACTTCCATGAACTTTTCATAGGGTTTAGCTCTTCCAAGGCTAATGGTTTGGATCTGTGTCTGAGAGTAGAGTTCAAAAGCTGCTCAGCTTAAGAAGCTAATAGTTTTCTACTTTATTTTGTTGGGAAAAGAAATTTCTCTGACTCCACTGTAGGTAAGAAACGCTCCATGTCCATTCTTCTGGATAATAAAACTGGCAAAGACATGGAATTAAACCATTATACAGTATCTGATCACAGATGTTGTATAAACAAACCCCTGCTGGCATTACCCTTTCTTGATGTGAAGAGTTAGCCAAACTTCATGGTGGGTGTTTGCATGGGATGGAGCACTGAGCTCATTACTGCCTTGATGTTCCAAGCGCTCATACAAAGTCCTGTTTCCCTGAGTGCAGTGGGAGTTAAGCACCAGAGAGAGCCTGGCTCATAGCTTCCAGTGTTCTTACAGGGAACAGGTTTCTATCAGCTTTGTTCTGCAGGCACAAGCTACCAAGGCTTCTCTCCTTCTCTTCCTCTCGTACACTTGCACGTTTCAGTCTTTGCATTGACACGCTGCATGGATTCACTGCATCTCCAGTGTAACTTGAATGTGGTGTAAATCAGGCCGCGGGTGTTTTTGCTGGAGGCCTGTTTGTGATGCCAGAGAATTTTCCTCCCTTCTGCAAACCTTTTCAAGCACTTACTTCTGCACTGCAGAGCTGCAAAGATTTCAAATGATAAATAAGAAATGACGTAGCAAGAACAACCAGACAGTCACCCAGCAACAGCAGATAAAACTTCCTTCGTGGGAAATCACCTCCGTGTCACACTTGTAAGATCTGAGAGATTTCTGCATGCGTACTATCACAGCAGATCTGAGTTTGCCGTGCCATTTCATTAGCATCATTACTGCTTGTGCTGGTGCGATTTTTAGAGCCATGTCTCCGGTGCATTTTCATACCTGCAGACTTTATGTGGCACTGGACAGCCTCGTGATTTAGATTTAGCAGCCGAATTCACTTGCTGATTGTTAGCAGATAAATATTTGCCCGAATACAGAAAAGTGCTGCTTATGTTAAGTGACAGAACGAAGCAGTGTGGCCACACAAAGTAATGGAGGATCAGCAGCTACTGCAGAGAAAAATTAAGACCAGAGAGACTTAACTGACTTACTGATGGCTTTATGGTACAGAAGGGTGAATGCGGGTGAATCGTTTGGAGCTTGCATTAAAGCAATAAGAGCTTTCACTAATTTCAATGACTTTGGATTTCATCTTTGTTATATATAACAATCATTTAGGGTTTGGGAGTTGTTTCTCACATCATACTAACAAGCAGCTTCTGTTCTCTCCTCCTACAGAGCAGGATGAGCTGGTGTGGGGGTAGGAGAGGAAGAATACGATGGGAACAACACGCTCTGCTAGTGGAAGTAAAAAAATGTGTTTTGCTTTTGGATTTCTAAAATTTCAGACACGTTCCCTGCCTGTTGCTTTACTCAAAGAAGCAAAATTAAGCAGTACTGCCAACAGCAGAATTTGTTGGCTTCTCCTGCTATTTAAAAACACAGTTATCAAAAGTTAAGATACAGACTTAAGGGGGATGGCAGATTGGGTGTTCTGCATGGCCATGAAAAGTCTTAGCAAGACACTGCAAGCTCGCAGTGTTACGTGTCAGCTTTTCCCCTGTTGTTTTCAGAAGCAGGAGTCTCACCTAGCAAAAAAAATAAAATAAAAAAAAATCTGGAAGCAAAGGGAGGCAAAGAAATCTGTTCCCAACAATGTAAGTGTCCAACCTTCATTTAAATGAATCGATCTTGAGCTTCTGTTTAGCTCAAACGGAGGTCACCAACCAAAATATCTGCTGAACTTTTCTATGTAAGTGAAGTATTAAAATAAAGGTGGAGGAATTGGTAGGAAAAGATATTTCAGGAGTGTATTTTGACCTGCAGTGCCTCTGGTTTGCTTTATGTTGGGTGATTCTTGGAGGTCTTTTCCAACCTTGGTGATTCTATGATTCTCTGTCATTTGTGATCACCAGTGATACAGTCGATTCTGTGTTTAACCAGTGAAGCCTGGAGGCACCACCGTGTCCTAAAAATGGCGCTGTGTGATAAATATGGAGCCAAGTTGGGAAACGTGCTGGTGACCGACATTGTGTGGTGCCACCCTGTGTCGTATCAGGGGCCTGAAGAAAACCAAAAAGTCACAAGCAAAATATTCCAGTGAGGCTCTGGAGCTGACACACAATATGAGCTCCAAAGTGCCACGTGGAAAGGCTGCCCAGTGTCGTCGTTCGGTCTGCTCAGTCAGTGTCACAGGTGTCCTCTGCAAGCACAGCCTCTGCTTGGTGAGACGATTATAGCAGATTTGTGCTGCTCAACAAGAAACAGAAGCTTCATGTCTTGATGGTTCAGCTTTGTCGCACAGCCAGGAAATCTGCCCGTTAGAACTGCAAGCCTCTTTCATGCATGGCTAGTTCCAAAGTTCTGTGTAGAGGGATTTGGGAATGAAAAATGTCATCTACAATTATGCATATTTTCATCATGTTCTGTCATGCAAATCTCCCCTCCCCAACTATGCTACAAATGTTTTGTTTGCATATGTGGGTCAGTCACAGATCTGCAGTGGTCTAACATCAACATGGGAAGCATGGGTTGATGTAAACAAATTTTAACCCAGTCTGAGAAGCACAATAATAATAACACAGGCATTTTTCAGAGGAAACCTGTTTATTAGACATGTTCTCTTCATTTCATTTTATAAAACACTGCCATTGATTTGTGCAAGTACAACTGACAG